GTTAAGGGATTTTGAGGGTGATAATTCTTGATTTTCACCTACGTCATCAAAAAGTTTGCAAGGATTTATATAAAACAAAACTTCCACTTCTTTACTTTTGAGGAAAATCTTCTGATCTATAAAGATAATTTTTGAGTAAGAATATTACAGAAGGATGTTAAGGGATTTTGAGGGTGATAATTCTTGGTTTTCACCTACGTCATCAAAAAGTTTGCAAGGATTTATATAAAACAAAACTTCCGCAGGCCGAAACAGTAGCCAAAACTATATATCTCCGTCAAAATTCTAGCTAAAATAAGTTTTAAATACGAAGGTACAAGCGACTGATTATGGCCATAATTTAGTTGAAATGTATGGGTCCGCCATCTTGGTGTCTTGTTGAGGGACACCAAGATGGCGGCCAAATCACGAAGGTTAAAAACAATGTTTATATTGCAAACATTTCAATTTTTCAATAACAATAATCATCAAAATAAAGTTACCAATCATCTACTAAGTTAAAAACGTATTATTTCAATCAAATTTTCATATTTCTAATGCTTTGAAAATGCGTGACAGAATTGGTCTCGCAATAAATCTAAAACCAAATATCGCTAATACAAAATTATTTTGGCAAGACTTTTCTTATAATGCTATAAACAAAATATTCGACAAACAAACAGTTTTGTGCGGTGAATACTTTGGATTTTATTTTTTGATGACGTCACATGAAAACCAAGAATATTAAATTGATAAAATATAATCATGCATACAAATAAGCAGGCTTTCCAGCAAGTCTAAGACATTTTGCTTGGCTTATAGGAGAATGAACGCTTCACCGGCCTATTTGAACAAAATTATGCTGAGGCGCTTTTATTTATAGTTAAGCGTTAGTTAGTGACGTAATCGTAACTTTATTTAGACTCTTAAGTACATGAATAAACGACTTCGTGGAAGTCACACTTACTAGATTTAAGAGAAGTTGGAATTGATACAATACGAAATACGACAAAGTTCTGTCACAACAGTCACCAGTAAATTCTAAAGATGCCAATTTAGCTTAAGGTAAAACATTATGTTCGGGGGAAAAACGAAACAAATACTAAAAAATTATAAATCTAGAAGATCAGAGACCTATTTCTAGGGCTCGGGTGGACAAATGATTTTCAAGATGAAAAAAAAAAAACCAGAAATTCAACGAAAACTTTCGTTTGGCACACCTCATCGGCGCTTAATTTGTGTCCCTTACACAAATTAACTGAACCTCGTTGATCAATTTTCGCCCCATGTAAGGGAATTCGGAATGATGCTGGATATCGGCTACTATGCAACAGTTACGGAGTGAAAAACACCAACTGTATACAGTCAATATCAATAAAATAGGTCTTTACCCCTTACGACGATAAGAGATATATGCTAGAGGATGGTGTAACTACTCTAGCGTATGGTCACAAGGAAGTAGCTTTGTAAGTGGTCTTGTGAAGAAGTTTGAAAATAATAGTCAGTACAAACTTCTACTTTGGGCACAAGATAAAGGAAGCATTTCGCTACCACATTTCCAAGTTCAATGAAATCAAATGAGTTTATTTGTTTATTTGTTTGGGTGCTATAAGGTGTACGGTGGAAATTATATATAATTATCTTTTTGAAATATCTCTTATCTCTGTATCTCGAAATAGACGAAGCCAGCTAAATCAAATCCAAAACTAAGACGTGCTATCCTAAAGTGTTGTAATAACTTGAACGAATTAATTGAAACTATCTGTGAATTGACTCTAAACGTGCTGAAAGTATTGCGCGCTTTAGCTGATAAAAAGGTATCCGACAAGAAAAAGAAAGACCAATTGAATCAGACAGGGGGTAACTTTCTTCCATTCCTCATACCACCCGTGTTATCTGTTCAGCTGGCCAACTTAATATCCAAGAAACTATGAAGCACAACAGGAAAATGCTGCTTTGAATACTAAATCAAAGCATGAATAGTTAACCAAAATAATCTATTGCCCATGAAGTTTGAAGACCCTTAATAAAAATCCTTGTTTACGAGATTACGATGGTAAATTAATATTTCTAGTTCGGCTGTCTTGAGTCACAGAAGTCAACGAAATAAAGAATGCTTAGACATAAATTTCTGTCACGTGATCTGCTAGCTCCACCCTTTCATAATCATTTGACAACGTAGTGACAAGTGATTAACATGTTGTACATGCTTATTGATTGGACTATAGACGGGAACCCTATAGCAGATACCTGAAAAAGTCTCTTGGGTAAGGTCCCGAAGACCTGTGGGTACTATTGCGCAATTTGCCCATTTTGTCAGGGAGCAATCAGGACAAGACCCTGGTGGCAGGGTAGACCGGGTTATCTGGTTGGGAAAGTTTACTAGTATCTCTTACTAGCGCTCTGGTAGGCGGGAGATACGCTTCTTTTCACTGCTTTGCATCACGGAGTCATATCTGGTCAGCGGTTAATTTTTTACTTCTGGTCAGCGGTTATGAATTTTTATCGCGTCATACCATTGCGATTGTTCTTCGGTACGTACTTGTACTTGTTTTGCTATGCTTTGTAATAAGATAG